TTCCTTAGTGTGACAGTGCAAAAATAATGGCACCGTTTGGAACTACATCTGTGTATGGACTTCAGGAGCCCTGACAGCGCAATGGTTAGGCACTCGACTGCTAACCTAAAGGTTTGAACCCACCATTGGCTCTGTGCGAGCAAAGACCTGGCAATCTGCTCCTGTAAAGACTACTGCCTAGAAAAACCTATGGGGCGGTTCTACTTTGTCATACAGGGTCTCTATGAGTCTGAATCTACAGCACACAACAACAACATGGACTTCAGATGCTACCACTCAAGTTAGAAAAGAATCATGTTATGTCTGTACATGGATTCTATGAGAGGGAATTGGAGATAATGCACACTGAAGAAATACTGGAATCATGGGGGAGTTCTGTTTCACTATCTTTTGTGCCATGCTATTTATTTAACAAATAATAACAATATAGAAATTGTGACAAAAGATGAAGATTGTGATAGACCATATTTACTGGACATTTTAGTAGATTGATTTTGAAAGGGTGTATGTGGCTTCCCTTCAGATACACAGAAGGAGCCTGTGTACAGCATAGTGACACTTTCAGTGACCAGAATGGGACATACAGAGCAACCGTGAAAGAATGAACAGTTTGCTTGATAATAATCTCTCTGGTGTTTTCAAAGTGTTGCCAGAGTTAGAGATACAGGATTTATTTTGACCTTCATGTCAGGTCTGTGTTCCTTGGTATTCCCAGTTTAGAATGAATGGGTGGTTTATGACGGTCCAACAGGAGCTTATCCTCCCCTGAACTTTCTTTAACAACAACAACAAAAAAAAAAGCACAGCTTTCCTTTTTCTTGAGAAAATCTGTACCTAAATCATAATGTCTCAGTTTTCTCTCATAGTTTTATTTACTTTCTTGCTGGTATTTTGAATACAATGGGCCTTGAGGGTAAAAAGTTTTCCATAAATATTACACATACAACTATTCTGCAGCATGCCCTCAAACTCTTACTGTTAATTTGAAAGTTAAAAGTTGTAATATCTTTTATCACAACTATATTGTCTTTACGCAACATGTATTTAAAATGTGACAGGACAATTTTGCTCTTAATATCATTTTTGTCTTTTCCTCAGTATTTCCAAATCAGGTAGTAACTAACTGGATACATTTACACATTATTGCAAAATAACTTCTTTAAATCCAACAAACTTGTACTTTAAACTAATCACTGAAGCAGACTGGCTGTGAAATAATAATTAAGTTATCTTAAATGTCACCACAAAATATAGAACTTTATATTATAGTTATATAACTATAATTATGTTATATGTTGTAATTATTATACACCCGTTGCCGTCGAGTCGCTTGCTACCGATAGCCACCCTATAGGACAGAGTAGAACTACCCCATAGGGTTTTCAGGGAGTGGTTGGTGGATTTGAACTGCTGATCTTTTGGTTAGCAGCCTTAGCTCTTAATCGCTGTGCGAATTATTATATAGTAAAATATTATATAGTTATGTTATACTTTAGTCATATGATCACTATAGAAATTAACCAGAGGTCATTCTTACTATTATTTGAAAGAGGAATTTGATGGCTGTACAATTACAGGTTATAGTCACAATAAATAACAACCATTTGGCATGCACAGTGATCAATCATTACATACTCATTGAACATCATCAGCTTTGTGGGCAAGATATGTAATGGATACAAAGATATCTGTTGGAGTTAACATAGTTTCCCACAAAGAAAGAAAAACAATTTTTTGAGGAGAAATAGAAGGCACCTGGAGAGTTCCTTTGCTGGTGAAGACACAAATACAAGTCGTTAGTGTTGGGCTAACAGTAAAACAGGAAGTTTTACTTTGGGATTACATTAGAAGTCCCAAATTCTTTTTTTTTTTTTTAATTATTGTACTTTGAATGAAGGTTTAGAGAACAAACTAGCTTCTCATTAAACAGTTAGTACTCATATTGTTTTGTGACATTGGTTACCAGCCTCATGACATGTCAACACTCTCCCTTCTCGACCTTGGGTTCCCTATTACCAGCTTTCCTGTTCTCTCCTGCCGTCTCGTCCTTGCCCTTGGACTGGTGTGCCCTTTTAGTCTCGTTTTGTTTTATAAGCCTGTCTAATTTTTGGCTGAAGGGTGAACCTCAGGAGTGACTTCATTACTGAGCTAAAAGGCTGTTCAGGGACCAGACTCTCAGGGTTTCTCCAGTCTCTGTCAGGCCAGTAAGTTTGGTCTTTTTTTGTGAGTTAAAACTTTGTTCTACATTTTTCTCTAGCTCTGTCCAGGACCGTCTGTTGTGATCCCTGTCAGAGCCATCAGTGGTTGCAGCTGGGCACCATCTAGTTGTGCTGGACTCAGTCTGGTGGAGGCTGTGGTACTTGTGGTCCATTAGTCCTTTGAACTAATCTTTCCCTTGTGTATTTGGTTTTCTTCATTCTCCCTTGTTCCAGACGGGGTGAGACCAGTGGAGTATCTTAGATGGCCGCTCACAAGCTTTTAAGATCCCAGACGCTATTCACCAAAGTAGAATTTAGAACATTTTATTTATAAACTATGTTATGCCAGTTGAGCTAGGTGTTCTCAAGACCGTGGTCCCCACAGCCCTTAGCCCAGTAATTTGGTCCCTCAGGGAACTTGGATGTGTCTATGGAGCTTCCATGACCTTGCCTTGGTCAAGTTGTGCTGGCTTTCCCAGTATTGTGTACTGTTGTACCCTTTACCAAGGAAGTCTCAGATTCTTAATGTGGAAAAATCTCCTCCTAAGGACAGTCTGCAGGAACCTCGGTGGCAGAGTGGTTGAAGCACTCGGCTGCTAACCAAAAGGTCAGCAGTCTGAACCCACTAGCCACTCCAAGGGAGAAAGATGTAACAGTCTGCTTCTGTAAAGATGTACAGCCTTGGAAATCCTGTGGGGCAGTTCTACTCTGTCCTGTAGGGTCACTATGAGTCAGAATCGACTCAACAGAAGTGTTTTTTTTTTTTTTTAAAGACTGTCTAGGAGTCCCTAGGTGGCGCAAACAGTTAAGCCCTCAAGTATCAAGTACTAACTGAGAGATTGGCAGTTCAAACCTACACAGAAGTGCCTGGTAAGAAAGGTAATCTGTTTCCAAAAAATTACATCCTTGAAAACCTATGGGAACAATTCTGCTTTGCACATATATGGTCATCACGAGTCAGAATAAACTCAATGACAACTTTTTTTTTTTTTTTAAGGCAGGTCTAGAGCTTCTCTGAGATCATGTCAAGGTAGATGCTTATCATGGCAAGGCCTAGCCTACTCAAGATGAGATCCTTAGCATTTCTTTTCATAAGAAAAAAAAAGCCTACGTGTTTTCCTACTCATTCATGTGATATCCTCCTCTTCTATTTTTTAGTCCGAAATTTCTGCATAATCTTTGCAGAAAATTTGGCAAAAAAAGACAAGTATAAAAAGTAGGTGAGAAATCATCCATAATCCCACCACCCAGAGGCAAACACTATTAACATTTTGCATGCTTCTGATAGTCCCTCTCTCTCTACTTCTCTCTCTCAGTGTAAATGTGTGTTTGTGTGCTGCATTTACCTTGCTGCTTTGTAGAGATCAGAAATGTTTTTCCCTTTGAGTAACTTCTAAAGTATTTAGGCGAAAATATTGTCCCTCTCCTGTACCTTTCAATTGCCACTTATGTTCAGGCTGTATTAACTGATTCATCATTTAGCCACTGATATTTCTAATGTGTTCAGATGGCCATTGCCTGCCTTCTGAGCCACCAAGATTTGCTCAGTATTCATAGGACCTGCAAGAAGTTCCTGTCAGTGATCTTGGCATAAGCCAATAATTCAGAACGGAAGTAAACAGATTTCTTTCTCTCTTTCTCTAGTTCAAAATGGAAGTAAACAGATTTCTTGTGATGCTCATCACTGCCAACATTTTCATTGCCCACATGAATGTGATTAGTGTTACAGCCTAGTCTAAAACACAAGAATTCAGATGGCAGCTTGGAAGTATGTGGCGAACCCTAAGCCTTATGAACCAATGATATCATGAATAATATTAAAATGAGACCCACTAGGAGAAGATATGTGAACAAAAATTATGCGATTATTAAGTCATGGGACAGGTGGGAAATTCAGCTGTTATTATAAATGCAGATTATAACCCTGAGAACATTTCACCAAATAGATCAAAAACATTTTTGATCAGAATTTAATATAGGCTAGAGCTGATAACGTAAACCCCTTGCTACCTCCACCAAATGACTGAATAAACTTTATTTTTCAGGTTGAAAGGACTTTTCTAAAATTCCTCATTCTTAATGCTCTAAAACGCCCGGGATCAGAAAATTAAATTACGCCATTTTTATCTGTTTGAGATCAGCTCTGTTTCCTCCTTTGCTTTGTGTTTACCTTCCTGCAGTAGCTGACATCAAAATGTTTTCTGGAATGCTGGGGCTAAATAAGTTATGCTTAACTCAATATCTAATACAAATAGCCCTGGGGAGCTTCAGCAACACAATCATAAAAGCTATAGTTTCCTTTAATAGCTTGCCACACTTTGCTGATATAGTATTTCTCTAATCACCAATCTTTACGTGCCTTCCTGACCTTGGAGCTTTCAGCCCAAATGGCTTTGTGGTATCAAAGGCCTATGTCATTGGAAGAGTGAATGGCTTTCATTTTTCCCCCTTGAAACTTCCGGTTCCTGGCATCTGTAAAGAATTACTCCAAGCCGTGTTTTGCTGCCTTGCGGCCACTGCCCCATCCAATGGAAGTGACTTTCCCAGAAAGGTCACAGTGGTCAGTAATAGTTGGATATTGCATTCAAAGAGGAGGTAAATCTGATTTCTCTATTTTTTTCTATTACAATGTTAATTACTTATTCTAGCGTCACATTAGTTGTTAAAAATATAAGTAACATTTTGCTTTGCAACATATTTCAGCAAGGAAGTGTACACTTTGTCGTATAGTAAGGCTGAAAAAGTTAGCAACAGGCTTCGTAAAATCATCCAATTTGTTGGGAAAAAGTAAATTCCACTTACACCTTGTTGGGGGAGATTACTCTCTGGCAGTGCCCTTGAATGCATCTTCAGAACTGGTCACTCCACAGGATGTAAAAGAACACACAAGGATGTGACACTGCAGTGACTCAGGAAGCTCAGCTCAACCCTGTCCAGTAACTGTGACAACTCACTATCAGCCATTGAGACCTTCAGGACTTTTGACTCAGACCTTAAAGTACCATTCTGACTGTTACTTAAAGTTGCATTTCCCAGCATAATTATGTTTTGTGTTTTCCGCATGGTCAGTAGTGAAGGACTGTATGGATACATTTCCAGAGTACGGGCTACTGGCTTAGACTGGAAGTGTGGGTAATGGATACCTTTTTCAAACGTTCCAATGACTCAGTGAGTGGCTTTTAAATAGTGTCTTACCTTCTCTGTGCTTTAGAATCTTAAAAGAGAGAGAGAAGTGAGAGAGAGAGAGAGAGACAAGGTAGAATACTACGGAGTCTTGTGAGGCAATTTGATATGTTTCCAATGTGGGATTCTTAATGCAAGTAAGAAGCGTGTGTTATTAAAAATAAAAATTAGTGTAGAAGAACCAGATATAAATTTTTTGAGGTACTAGCATGGCATGCATTTTTAGCAATTTCATCTATCTATCTAAAATCTTTACCTACTTTCACTACTGCAGTGAATACTTCATGTACTTACTCCTGAGAATGCCCACTAGCTATAATTTAATGTCAGCTTCTTAATATTTTTTTCCTAAATGGTTCCTAGAATATCATTTTGTATATTAAAATATTCCCCACCAGTTTCCAGTTTATGTTATTTTCTATAGTAATATATATGTATATTAATACTACTGAGGATTAAAATTAGAAAAAAACTCCATGATTTCATAATAACCTTTTACATTTGAGTGCATTTTAAGTCTTTTTTTCTATTTTATGTATAAAATATGTAGAATTTTTACAAAATTGAATTCATATTAAATGTACAATTTTGTAGTGTTTATATTTGCATTTAGCATTTTACCACATACTGAATATTTTTTTGAAAACACATTTTTGTGCTAACAGAATGAACTAATAGATGAATATACTATCATTTGCTTTATCAATTCTCCTATTGTTGAATATTTTGTTTAGTGTTTTTCCTTTCTTTTAAATTTTTGTTGCTCTCATAAAAATGCTGAGATAAACATTTCTGTACATACCACTTTCTTTAAGACACAGTCTTGATGCAAAGTTAGTGGGGTGTATAAGCATAATTTTTTTAAGGCTCTTTCTCCATGCGCTACATTGCTTTCCAGAAAGAGTCTAAGAATTTACATTTGCACCAGTGGTCAGTAACCACTATTTTTATTGTTCCATTTCCAACAATATATTTTATAATTGTGCTACTCTTTTTCAATTGGATATTACATTATATTTTTAATGTGTCATATTTTATTAATATAATGATTGCTTATTACTAAAACTAAAGTTCTAGGAATTTGGAGTTTAATGTTTTCCAAAGATGCTAGCATTACTTGTTTTACCACTATCTTTTGTGGATAGTTCTACATGTGAGGTTAAAGTGGAAGAACAACTCAACTAAAATAAAGGATTTGAAAGAGGAAGTCCAAATATAACAAGTCTCACTTTAAATTATGGCTGTGTAAATGAGAAAAACTCAGTCTAAATCCCGATATATGTTTGAAGTCTTCATATCCTGCATGGAGAGATTTGAAGACAAAAGAATCTCTCTTAAACACAATTAAATAAAAATTCCACAATGCTGAAAATAAATTGGAAATATGAGATTAATGGTTACTAAGTATAAGACTAGTAGTTCATTGAAAACGTTTTCCTATAAACAACTAAATGTTGAAGCCGTAAAATCCACAAGAAAATATTCTCTGTTTAAAAAACACAATATTGCTATTTTTTTTACTATTTATTTCACCTGCAGGTTCGAATACATATACATATCTATTTCCCACTTGATTATGTACATCTCTTGGATACGTATTTATTTCGAAATTAGAATAGCTTAAATAAGAAAGTGAATGGACGAGGAGTCGCTTGCACATTAGCCTCCGGAATCCCTTCAGTGCTGAGTCCTCTTCATGGCAAATTAACTTTTTACTAACAAGGGCCAAACATGCCTTTTTGGGGCACTTTTCTTTGAGATCGAAGAACTTAAATCTGTCCCAATTCATAAACATTAAAACTATCTAACTCTTTTTAAGACTTTAAAATTTGATTTTATTCCATTTGCATAGGAAGAGCTGAATTAGTGCTTTAAAAATATCAGAATTGTTGTTTAGCAAATCCCTGGATGTTATTTTATTGTAAAATGTGTGAGTTTTGTGTTCATACTGGTTTAACCACCATGGAGACAGATTGGTTTCAGCGATTCTATGGATTGAAGATAGATTTGTTTTATCTGGTTACAGAAAGGATAAAATACAAAAGATTTAAGGGTTTTATTTGTTTCTTTGTTTTTTTCCTGTGACTTTTACAATTGCTGTTTTGATGAACTGGATTGTTTCTAACTCCAGTTCTTCTGCCAATTAAGTGAATATAATAGCCTCTCTCTAACAGCTTTTTCAAGAAACTTACCAGGGAAGATCTCAATATTAATGTTTAAATAATTTAAAATTAATTAAATTGAGGAAATATATATAGTTGTGGAATAGCCAGAATATCTTAAATGAAATACCTGTTTAAGGAAATAAGCCCCATAGATGGTTACAGAGTAACAGGCGAGCTTATCCTAGCCTTGGAAGCCTATAAGAAAGGAAAAAAATAAATGTCTCTTTCTTGGAGAGAGAACAATTCTGAAAGTTTTCGGGTCTTAGCACATTTAGGGACTTGGGATGTTTCTTATACACTATTGTGTGTGAGACAGAGGAGAAGAGAAGAAAGGAGAGGGTAGAGAAAGGAAGGGGAAGGCAGGGGAGAGCAGAAGAGAATATTGAAAGGCTTTGACTTTCTGTGAGACACGGAGAAGTCTCATCAATAAGCTTGTCTTCTCCTTATTGTCTTTACAGGCAACCCCTGACACCCGTGACTTCCCCCTGCAGCTTTCTGCATAAAGACGGGTACCAGTGAAATTGCCTTTCTAGAATTTAGATTCCTGAAATTCACCAAGGTAGCTGATATGTTCATCAAGATGAGACGGGAGAGTGAGGTTGTCTCCCACTGAGAGTTAGTAACAGTTTTTAATTTCTCCAAGACTCAGCTGGATTTATATTTACGTTTTTGGAGAAGCACTACTGAGTTGAGTTGCTTTTGCTCTATAACAAACCAGCCTGAAACCTAGTAGCTTGAAACCATACAAGCATTATTTTTCATGAATCTGTTGGTTAGCTGGGTGGTTCTTCTGATCTAAGCCAGCTGGGCTGGGGCAAAATGATCTAGAATGGCTTCCTTCCCATGTCTGGGATGGCTGGGATGGCTGGGAATGCGGAGGCCTCTCTCCGTATCGTGTCTCATTCTCTAGGAGGCTAGCCCTGGCATGTTCATACACATGGTGCTACACAAGGGCTCGCCCCAGCCAGAAGGGGCCAGCCCTAGTGGGCAAGTGCTTTTCAAGTGTCTGCTTCTGTCATGTTTGCTGTTGTCCCATTGGTTAAAGCATGGCATGGACATACCCAGGGTCACATGGGCATGATTCTTTGTCCGCCCTTACTCCAACATTGCACCACCATCATATCCCAGATTTCTGAAATTCATTTCAATTAGACAAATCCAGAACCTAATTAAAATTCTTTAATAATTGTTACATTTATTTTTCTGCAAAATTCATATTTGGATCAATGACCTTGAATGTCTAGAGACTTGTTTTTTAAAAGTGTTTGTATTTTCTCTTTAAGGAAAAAAAAAGCCCTCTTAGATAATTAGAAATTCTCCCAGTTTTGGCACATCACTGCAGTCATTTGAGATATTTAGCGGAATAACGAATGCATGTGTTTTATACAACTGTGATTTGGCATGCCAAATAAACATTTTTTATTCTCTTATCTCAGAACTTTATCTTGTGATGCCATCTGTTTAAAAACAAATGTACTGTACACTAGTACTATGAAACCCAATTGATTAATATTACATGTATTTTCAGATGAAAGCAGTTTCTTAAGGATTAACTTATTGCTATTAGCAGCTCTTAGATACAAAATATCAAACAATACATTGCTAATTATAAAGCAATATATTGTTTTTTACCAATATAAAAAGCAAAGCTGCTTTAAAATGTATTTTTTATCAGAATCAATTACAAATATTCTTCTCACTATAGGAAGACAAAGGACTGGATAATCTTGTGGATAAAGGCACCTGTCAATATCACGCCTAGTTCATATATGAAATAGTTAAGGGACATCTGTTAGATATCCAAAGACATCCTAGATTCCTATGGATCTGTGATATTTGTAGAAATGATTTCCCATAAATCCATCCCAAGAAAGTACAGAGGAAGGAGCATGGGTATCGGAGACAGACTTTGGTCAAAATCATGGCTCTGTTAGTTACTGTGTAACCTTGAGCAAAATCATCCAATTTCCTTTGTTTCCGCAGACACGACATGGAGTTAAGTAAGACAGCAACACAGTGGGGACATAGAAAGAATCAGTGAGTTAATTCCTTCCCTCCCCCTTTTACTTTTTACTTTTCTTACTGTTTACCTGGAGCCCTGATGGTGCAGTGGTTAAGAGCTATGGCTGCTAAGCAAAAGGTCGGCAGTTCGAATCCACCAGCTGCTCATTGGAAACCCTATGGGGCACTTCAACTCTGTCCTATAGGGTTGCTGTGAGTCAGAATGGACTCGATGGCAATGGGTTCTACTGTTTTCCTACTTCAACTAGTTAAAGGTAGTTGAAACCTTTCTGACAGTTGCGCTTTAAGCATGATTTGGGAGCAATGAGAGAGACAGAGTGTGGCTTTGGGTTAGTCTGAACGTTGCTGGCCCGTGTAAAAGGACAGAGATCGGCACTGGTACTAGACCCAGCTTTCCGTGGTTGTTTTCTCCCCTCTCTGTGTGCCTGCTTTTTCAGAGGGG